TAAATACTCAGGGCCTTTTTCCCCTTACTTACGGCCCTTGTTTAAATGCTGGTTATACCCACCAGTCAGGGAAATCATCGTAGTGCCTTTTAAACAGTGTGTCCCTCGGCCTACCTTTGTGCGTTCTAAGGTGAGTCTTGTGTCGCTTCCCCCATTAACCTTTCCACCGCCTCAGGTCTTCACTCTAGTTGCCAAGAAGATGACACGCTGGTACTTTGTTAGCACCTATCCTAATGGGAGAGGTTAGTCATTCAGGTGACAAGTGAGCATGGCCAGTATTTGTGATGTGAAGCATTAAGAAAACCTCATCATAGAGCTGTTATGTAAGAAAGCCGCCTTTTCAGCGCCCTGCTCTGCAGAGGTCTGGTGGAGGATGGTAGGATTTATGGATTCATGGTGACCTTCCAAAAGGCCTTTCTTGAGAGGCTAAGACCTCCATCTTGTGGAGCGTTTGTGAATTACCTGTAAAGACTATTTTTATCATCATTATTTTTATCTTTTTTCCCCCAGACAAAATTGGGTTAAAGAATATTGGTGAATATTGATATAACTGTTTACTAGTATAATAAGCCAGATAACAGTTATTTTAAGACGTATTTTGCTATCTTAAGGGTATGCTGTGCCACAGAAGTGATTCTTAGCCAGCCCTGTGGAGCATGGGGTGTATGATTGGGGGTTGGGACTAGGATCAGGGTCGTGCTTGTGCCACCCCTTTGCTGACACTCGCTGTCTGTGACAAGAGTAGTTAGTTACTCATGGGGGTGGGGTCAGGAGAACCTGATCCAAGCTCTTGAGGTTTTAAATACAGCACAGGTAATTGAAAAGTATTTACATGACAACTTTGAAATAAAGCTTTTTATTTGATGACTCTGTATCTTTACGAGTAAGAGACTTTGTCACCGTGAACAGACAGAGTTTGGTATTACTGGTCTATATTTCTGTGGAATAAATACACTGGTTATAACCATTTATCACACTTTTTTTAAAAAAAAAAAACCTTCTTTTTTTGCGTGTGCTTTCTTCCCTCCCTCTTATACAAGTAAAACCTATAAAGAGGGAGTGTAGTCTTCCCAGTTCCCTTCCTGAGGTGGCTGACATGCACTCGGTGTCTAGGGCCCACACCAGGATGTCTGCCCTGCTTTCCGTGGCTCTCCTGGACACAGTCCTCCCCGGGCTCAGGCTGGATGATCCTGCAGCTCCTGGCCCATGGTGTGCCCGTAGGAAGCCTGCTCATCCTCTTCAGCGATTTTACAAAAGCTTTCATTGAGCAAGTTATTGGCTCTCTTTTAAAGTCCTTATTGTTGGTTGAAAATGCGATCGCTTTCCTGTTCCTTGCTGTGTTCACATTGTTCCACGTGGAATTTTTTATTGCCCCTGAACTGGTTCCCACACACTGCAGACCTAAGGTCCAGATGAATGAGGGAGGGCCAGGCTTTAGCATGCAGACCTTTTAATTCATTGATTGCCTACCATTTGTAGCACTGAGCCAACAGCGTTTATTGAGTCCCTACTAGGTGCTGGACACTGTGCCAGGTGTTCGGAACAGCTAGTTGAGATGTAGCCATGTCCTCAAGACCTCAGAGTCTGTCCTGTTGAACCTTGACTCCCCTTCCCCTCAGAAGGTCTGGAAAGCAACAGGACTTCAGGTGTGTGTTAGGGGGCCTGGTGAGGCCACTGCTTCCTGTTAGACTGGCTGACCAGGGTCAGAACTGGGAAACCATTCTGTTCCTGCCCTTCTCAGTGACCTTGGCCAGTCTTTGTAACCCAAACTTGGAAGTGTCATCCTATCACTTTTTGCCATATTCTAGGTCCAGCCCACAATCAAGGGTGTGAATCCCACAAGGCAGGGGGATAGTCCTGGGGGCTGCCGTGGAGGCAGCCTCCCACACTAAATAATTACATTTTCTGTTTTGGGGTGTGTGTCACCTATCTGCTTCAGAGACTGATGACAGGCAAGATTGCAAGAAGCATCGCCCTCTTATGCCAGTTAGCACTTAATTTGCCCAGTGACTCAGCAGTTTGGTGCAAATTAGGCTAACCACCCTGTTTTACACCTGAACAGGTGGAATTCTTTGAGCCCTTCTGGGACAGTGGAGAGCCCCGGGCTGGGGAGAGGGGCGCCCGAGGCTGGAGGGCGTGGATGCACCAGCAGGAGAGGGGAGGCTGGGTGGTCATCAACCCAGGTAAGGCACCTCTCAGTACTGCGTGAGTTTTTCTCCTGGAACTTGTTTTTACGTCTTCATAATTATTTGTTTATATGTATAAGCCATTTATCAGTATAAACATCAAAATGTGAAAAGCACATTAACTAGATGTCCCGGGAGAGTAGACTGTTCTCCCTCCTTGGAGTCTTTGAAGCAGTTGACACCCCCTCACTACATAATGCTCTGAGGGTCTGAATTCTTCCCAAAGAAATACTTCATTTCTCCTCTGATAGGCTGCTCCTGAAGAACTCACCTTATTACTAACCTCCCACCCCCATTTTAGTGTGGATTTAAGACAGTCTGTTTTCTTGGCAATGTCCAGATCCTTTGAAAAATACCTGCCTTAGCCGATCAATGACTCTCTCATCATTGATGTTTCTATCTCTCTCTCCCTCTCCTTTCCTCTCTCTGAAATCAATAAAGATATATTAAAAAAAAAAACAAAAACCTGCCTTTTAAAGAGTACTATAAAATAATTAACTGTCATTCTAAGTGACGCCAAAGTGCTTTCCAGATTTACCCTCTAAAACCGCACTGTCCAGTAGAAATATAACTCGAGCACATGTGTAACTTCACATTTTCTAGTAGCCACGTTAAACAAGTAAAAACAGGTGAAATTAATTTTGATAATGTGTTTTGTTTAACCTAGTATATCAGAACATTAACATTTCAACATCTAATCAATATTAAGAAACTAATGAGGTATTTTGCATCTTTTCCCCATATGAACTCTTTGAAATCTGGTGTGTATTTTCTATTTATAGCACATCTCAGTTCAGACCAGCCACTTTATAGGACTTGATAGCCTCATTCACCTGGTTTCATCGAAAGTGGGAGGGAGAAAGAGTGGGCACTCAGACTAGACCCCCTCGCCCAGGCTCAGCCAGCCTTTTTTCACCTTCCTGGGCATCACCTTCCTGGGCCTTGGTTTCTTCTGAGAAATGAAAAACTTTGGATTGGCTGTGATCTGCATGGCAGTGCAGAGCTCTGGGCCAGGTGGCATGTCTGTCACCACTTAAGCTGAGCCCTTCAGGTGTTTGGGATAACCTTGCTCTGGGCAGTACCATCAGGTGACAGTCATGCCTCACTTGGCTGTCACAGCCTCAGCCGTTTCGACTTCCCTTTGAATGGTCTTTCCAACAAAGCACTGGAACTGCTGTCCAGGCTGACCTGCGGTGTCAGACATGAAGAAAGTAACCTGCAGGCACAGCGGAAGTACCTATCGCACTTTAGCCACTGAGTCTGCAGGACCACATGTAGGACCAAAAAGTAAACAGGTCTTCTTGGTAGTAACTCTTTCGTTCTCTGAGTGACCAACTCAGCATGGCTCTGTGTTTTTAGGTTGTTTTTTTTTGTTTTTGTTAATGAACGAATCCCTTACAGTGCATGGTATTTATGTTCTGCAGTTGCCCATATTTGGCACTTCTGTGAGGATATAGAGTTCTTGTGGCAGTGCCCAGAGACTTAAGTTAACATCACTGCTCTGATAAGTGTCCAGATGTCCAGTAGTCACTCATAATCAGATGTGAAGTTCGTTTTCTCAGTAAGGTAATGCAAGTGTCAGAACCTTGACTTTTAACATCAGGTTAGGAGTGTGGTGGTGTGTAGGTACCCTGCAAGCTTTTCCACATTCCCTTCCTGGACAGTCTCTGGAATTTAATGAATTGAATGTATTTCTTTCTACTGGACTTAGAGGGTGTCCTCTACAACACCAGGATCTGAAGAAAGGTTGCAAGTTTCTTGTTTCCAGAAAACTAGTTATTAACCATTTTTTGTGTTTAAGTTCTCTTGTCCTTCCTGACGAGGTTGGCATTTAGAGAGTAGCTGGGATTTATTGTGGATTCTGAGGTATTTTTTTATAGCATCACAGTTTATTTTTTCTTGTACCATCACTTCCTGTTAGTCTGTAATTATTATACATGTGTCTGTTTAAAACGACGTAATCTTTTTGATTCCTAGTGTAGTAAATTCAGGTATCTAGATCTGTCACGTGACTCACCAGATAACTTCTCTCATGGTGAGAATTTTTCAGCATGGATTACTTTAAATGTAGATCACTAGACGCTGATAATTAAATTTTAGTTTTCTTTGAGAAATTCAGAAGAGTGTTAAGATAGAATATTGGGTTTAGAATATCACTTATTTGAATTCTTTGGGGTTTCTGTTATCTGTTTATTTTGAAATATTTACAGATTCATAAGAAGATGAAAAAAGATACACAGTTCCCCCTACCCCCATGGCCCAACAGTGTTGTCCAATAATAGCCACTAGCCACATGTGGCTGTTTTAATTAAAGTTAATTAAAATGAAATAAAATTAAAAACTCATATCTTCTACCAGCTACCTTTCAAGTGCCCAGTAAGTCCCATGTGGTGGTGGCTGATAGGTCAGACAGCACAGGTATAGAATGTTTCATCATTACAGAGAGTTCTGTGGTCAGTCTGTTGTAGAATATGTGTCTTTCCCGTTTTAATTGGTGTAGTAGCATTAAAAACCATTGATTTCATCAGCTAACCTACCAGTTTTTCCCGGGAACTTGATTGTGATTATTGGAGAGTCTCTAAAGGTCACTGAGAGTTCCAGAGGCGGGGCCTAGCTCGGTCTTACTCAACCTGACATTCCAGTTGCCTACCATAGTAGCTGGCATACAGGGTGGTTGGGTGTTGATGGTGGTTTTATTTGCTGGTTAGATGAACTAGAAGTTTTGTTCTTGTCTAGATGATGATGATGATGAACCGGAAGATGATGACCAGGAAATTAAAGATAAGACTCTGCCCAGGTGGCAGATCTGGCTGGCTGCTGAGCGGTCCCGAGACCAGAGGCACTGGCGGCCATGGCGCCCTGATAAGACCAAGAAGCAAACTGAGGAAGATTGTGAGGATCCAGAGAGACAGGCAAGTACCCCACCGCAGGAGGGGATGCCAGCCCTGGGGGTCTCTGCCTTCTCCCCATTCCCATTGGGTTTGGGTACCTAAAAGAAAGTGTTGGGCTCCCTGAGCACTTGCCTGGCTTAGGAGATACTGGCCTGACTTCCGTTCCTGTCTGTGGAAACTTCCCTCTTACTGGAAACCAGGGTAGAATATCATTGGCTGCTGGTGTTGTGGGAACTTAGAGGCACTTGACACCATAATTCCTGCCCCTGAATAGGAGGGTGGGTTCTCATGGTCACCCTCTGGCGATTGTCTTCCCGGTTGTTCAGGAAGCTGGAGGGCTCAGGGTTTAAAAACACAGAATCAGTGTCCTAGGTTCGTTAGCTGTGTCCACTTTCCCCACCCTATTTATATGTTCAGGAATGTAGCAGCTAGATTTGACTCCAAAAGACAAGGGGGACTGGATGTAAGGCCATTTGTGTACAGTCGGCATACAGCTTGTCTTGCTGGAGAAGGAACTAGCATTTACAACCTGTTGTGCGCCAGGCATTTAACTTCCATTAGCTAGCTTATTCACTGTTACTGCATGACTAGGTACATGCTGCTCTGTCTAGTGGCCAGCAGCCCTGGAAGTTTTTCTTTAAAATAAAGGAAAAGATTCTCTTTGATACCTAGAATTGACCCAGTTTCACAAGATAAGAATTCTGTTGCTTGGCATGTAATATAATACAATATTATACAACATAACATAACATGGTGTAGGTGTAGACTGAGAGATTTTCGCAGTGGGAGGCCTGTCAGCTTTGGCATGGCTCCTTGTCTGTAACCCTCTGTACTGTTACATGCCTCGAGGGTGGAGATGTTTGCCTGTTTCTTCACTGCTGAACCGACTGTGCCTGGTGGGGGCACTGCCTTGAGGCGAGTCTGCACGTGAGCTCCCTCTCCTGGCTGCAGCTGGAATGTTCAGTGAGGACTGGGGTCTTTCTTTGGCTTGAGGATTTTAGAGAGTTCATCACCCTTCCAAGAAGTCAGTTCTCAAGGTTCAGAATCTTGGCAGTTTCCTGGAAGCTCATTTCTGGAGCAAACTCCTGCTGTGAACAGTTTTTCACCTAGCTTTTTCTCTGCTCAAAACCTGAAGATTTCTGTTTAATGGATGGTTTTGATTAGTTGACTCTGGTAGTCTCTCTTTGCTCATAGCCACAAAGACAGTCAGATGTAAAGCGTTGTCTCTGTGGCCTTACATTTTAAAGTTATTACCCGAAGTCAGCTACAAATGCTCACAGTTAGTATTAGGCTCTTATAATTGCTCTTTACATGGTTCATTACTCCTGTAGTTTCCTTCTTAACTTGCTGCTGTGTATTTATTTTTTAAGCATATTTTTCATTTTCTGAAGTTTTGTACAAAAGAAAACAACACAAAATCATAAAGTTTTTTTTCTTCTGTCTTAAGTTTACACTTGTAACTACAAAGCAATTGTGTGTGCTTTCAGAAGTGGATATGATTCTAGATTTTCTATGAATCCAGCAGGCTACTTTGACATTTTTGGCTTCAGCCTGCTCATGGACCTCCCTCCTTCAGAGAAGCCCCAGGAGTGTGAGAATCCTAGCAGCATTGCAGGGCCCCCAACACTTACCCTGCACCTCTCTGGGTTACCTTGTGGAGCCTCTAGTTTTTTTTGCATCTTGCAGAAAACCCAACTCCTGTCTGTTTAAAATCGCATAATGTCGAATCATTATACATTCATATGAAGAGAATTGTGGGGAAATTGCGAAGGCCTTTTTGTCTGTCTATTGTAGTACCGAGCCCCTGAACAGGTCACTTTATTGTGTCTTTATTGCAGGTGCTGTTTGATGATATTGGACAGTCTCTAATCCGACTTTCCAGCCAAGATCTTCAATTCCAGCTGATTGCGGCCTTTCTGCAGTTTTTGGGTGTTCCTTCTGGCTTCAGCCCTCCAGCCTCCTGCCTCTATCTGGCCATGGATGAGAACAGCATCTTTGATAATGGCCTTTATGACGAACAGCCATTGACTTTTCTCAACCTTTCCTTTTCCGGCGTCAGCTGTGTTGGTCGCACAGACCAGTTGGGCTGCCGGCGCTGGACCAGGGGTCACAGCCGAGAGGGCGAGGAGTTCATCTGCAACATCTTCCACCTGGTGATGCCTTTGTTTTCAGGCAGGGAGAGGTCTCAGCTCTGTTCCTCCTGGTTGCGGTACGAGATCGCAAAGGTAACTCCGGCCCCCTCCCCCCCTGCGTGGGGACTTCCTTTTTGTCCATGTTTATAAATGGACTCTCAGGCTCTTGGTGTTCTTCAGGGTCCTGGGCCACAGCACCTCCTCTTTCGGGGACCCTAAAGGAACTTGGTGTGGCTGCCCCTTCTGAGGGGCCACAGTGAAGAAGAAAGCAGGAGTGGCTGGGGCTGTTTGTGTTGATTCTTGTATTACCAGATGCCTGTGATTATGTGAGCTGTTAGTGTTAAGAACTAAACTTAAGCTTAAGTAGGGTTAGAGGATTTAGGGGCTTACTAAAATAGATAAAATAAGCTACTTACCCTGCTCTTTTTATCTATGTATCTGCCAGAAATTCGTTTAGGATGGACTCTTCTGCCCTCTGCTGGCTGCAAGTTAGTATATTCTTAATACCCAAAGTTCTGACACTCCAACTACAGATTGAACACACCAGGTTGTGTTATCAAAATAGGGTTGTCTGATAAAATTGGGTGGCTGCCTCTCTTTGGAGAAGAAGAACATTTAGAGTAGGTAAGCCTTGTTTAAAGAGGTTTCAGATGGAAACCTGGATGTGTTCGTTTTGGAGTTCCTGTGGCCTCAGTAAAAAAATCCTGATTTGTTTCCCGGCTCAGAGAGCCTAAATGTTTACCAAACATGTGATGAAGGAAGTATAGATGCCTTGTGCGGCTTTCTCAAGCTGGCAGGATAGCGGGATTGCTTTAGAGTCACAGAGCACTTGGAGTCATACTTTTCTTTTTACCTCTAGGTCATTTGGTGTCTGCACACTAAAAACAAGAAGAGGCTAAAGTCACGAGGGAAGAACTGCAAAAAACTAGCCAAGAATCTCCTTAAGGAGCCAGAAAACCGCAACAATTTTTGCCTCTGGAAGCAGTATGCACATCTGGAGTGGTTGCTCGGCAACACAGAGGATGCCAGAAAAGTTTTTGATACAGCACTCAGCACGGCAGGGAGCGGAGAGCTGAAGGACCCTGAGGTCTGTGAGCTCAGTCTGCTCTATGCTGAGCTGGAGCTGGAGCTGGCACCGGACCTCAGAGTGGCCACCGAGGCCCGAGCTGTTCACATATTAACTAGGCTTGCTGAGAACAGTCCCTATGGGCCCTACACCGGGCAGGTCCTGGCAGTTCACATTTTGAAAGCTCGGAAGGCTTATGAGCATGCACTGCAGGACTGTTTGGGGGAGAGCTGTATTCCTGATCCAGCTTCCCTTAACCGCCTAGTTAGCGTGGTTAAATGCTTTATGCTCTTCCAGTATTTGACCATAGGGATTGATGCTGCTGTGCAGATATATGAGCACGTATTTCCAAAACTGAAGGGCTCTGTTACCTCAGAAGGCCCAAGCCTGGAAGACAGTGCCAGCCCACAGAGTGCAAGGAACATTCTCGAGGCTATCACACTGATGCACACGAGTCTGCTCAGGTTCCACATGAAAGTCAGTGTTTACCCTCTGGCTCCGCTGCGACAGGCGCTTTCAGAGGCTTTGAAGTTGTATCCGGGCAACCAGGTTCTTTGGAGGTCCTATGTACAGATTCAAAACAAGTCCCACAGCGCCAGCAAGAGCAGGAGATTCTTTGATGCAATTACCAGGTCTGCGAAACCCTTGGAGCCATGGTTGTTTGCCATTGAAGCTGAGAAAATGAGGAAAAGACTGGTGGAAACTGTCCAGAGGTAATTACAGATCATCTTGTTCATGTGTCCACACCTTTATGGAACGCGTGCCATGTCCCCCACCCTGTGAGCCTCAGGAATACAGAAATAAATATGGGCCATGGCCTGGCACACCGGTATGGGTGTTTGGGTGTTATAGGAATAGCAGATTGCAAGGGGAATGACAGACCTACAAGTAGTAACATCTTGCATTCGAGGCTTTTGTGGCTGTCTTCCTAGGCTATGCCTTTCGGGACCCTGAACGTTGCTTATGGTGCGTGGGTGGTGACTGTTAGGCCTTCAAGTATCTGAGAAGCTGCAGTAAAAGCATGTGGGTAAGAGCACAGGCTCTGGAGTTGGACTCTGGTTTCAGATCCCAGCTCTTCCCACGTCACTTTACCTCTCTGATAGGTTCCTGAGAAGCAAGGACTTGGTGTGTGATTCCTAGGCAGACTCTGTAATGTAGAAACCACAGGACCTTGGACACAGCCTTCCTCTGGCCTTGGAGTTGCCCATCACATCTCTACTCTGCACCCCCAGCACCCACAGATCTGAGGGACAGCCCTGCCTCTGACAAGCTCTGATTCAGCTCTTGCTGACGTCTCTTGTCACTAATGTGTCTCTGCCTCCTGCAATGTCGGTGTCAGAACTTGTCTCGGGTTTCACGAGCCTTTGTCTTGCAGGGTAGATGGCAGAGAGGTGTACGCGACTATTCCTGAGACTGGCTTGACGCACCGGATCAGAGCCCTGTTTGAAAATGCGATCCGCAGTGACCACGGCAGCCAGTGTCCTTTACTGTGGAGGCTGTATTTGAATTTTTTGGTAAGAAAACACTTAGAGTTTTTATATTTATGCAGAACTCTACTTCCTTCCTAAGAAAGTGCAGGTGTCCAGTGGCTTCCTTCACCCTCACCCCTCGGACGGGGGTGACATCAGGTCTCTCGGGACTTGGGGAGGGGTTGCAAGTGGCAGTTTTACTCAGGGCATTTGACAGAATAACGGGGGAGTTGCTGGGCGTTTTGGTGCAAAATTTAATGTGGCGTTCTGTAAAAGATAGGGCCCTTAGGGAATTTCTAGCTTTTTGGAAAGGTTAGCATTGGACCGAAGGTTAATTAGAGCAGTGACTCTCCCTAGCAGCTCCTGAGGCATCTGGTGGGCTCCTAAAGCTTTGATAGTGAAAAAACCAAATCAGCCAAAATGCAAGGTGTGGGCTGCAGTGCGAGGAGGGGCAGGAGAAGGGAGCCGTGGGGCCGTGTGAGGGAAGGGTTAAGGCTCCGTAGAGGAGGGTTGTTGGCTTGTTTGCTGTGCCTTTGCACCTTCCAGCGTGCATCTGCACATGCTTGCCTGCTGCTTACATGCGCGCGAGCACATTTGCTTGCTTTCCCTCTGCGAAATCGAAGAAGTTAAAACGTACTGCTGGCCATGGAGAACCTGGGGGGAAAGGACTTGCACAAAGAGCAGGTAAAATTTTCCACTAAGGTCAGAACTTAGTTTAAAGCCTCTTTTTTTGAGGGGACTTTCCGAGGTGCTGTTCTGCACACCCATTAGCACTTTCAGCCAAACTGTTTTTGTTGTTTTGGCAAAAATCAGTTATTTTCAAGATTCTTAGACTTCTTTAGTCTGATCATCTGCCTACATAATAAAGAGATAAACTTAAGTATATAAGCCAGTTAGCTGACTTCATGGGCCTGATGAGAGACATCTTAATACATAGAAAGGGACCGGTGGCATTTCTGACTGGGAATCATCAGATTTTATTGTCTCCAGTGCAGTTTCTTCCCACTTTGTCAGTGGCTGGCAGGTAGAAGGTGCTGAAAGGCCCCCACTTACAGGAGCTGTAGGAGGGAAGAGTCCTCTCCGTTCCCCTTCCAGTGGGCATAAGTAAGCCTCTACAGTAGGCCAGCTTCCTCTTAGGGATGAATACGCTGGTGAGAGTTTTCTAGATTTACTTGTATTTATTTGGGGAGGGTTTGATGTCAGTTTTGTCAAATGACTTTTTCAAAAAATTGTACACACCAGCAGGTGCTCAGGTTTGTTTATGCTTAGTTAAGATAATCCAATTTTGCAAAAGCCCGAAGGTCCCTCGCCTCTCGTTTTCTTAGAGACATTGCTTCCCTGTGTGGAGGAGGCACGCGGATAAGCAGGCACATACATGGCACGTAAATGGCAGACGCCAGCCAGCCTCTCGGAATGCAGAGCTCCACCACGCGTCTGTCACGAAGGAGGTGGGCAGCTGGCTCTGCATGGCCCTGGCCCTCTCCCTGGCCCCTCCCACCCATGCTGGGAGAGTTACTAACCCAGCTCAGGTCCGGGCTGATGGCCCACAGCACGTGCCACAGACTCCTGTCACCTCTTCCTGAGAGTCCTGGCTGAGTCCTTCGTGTGGTGTGAGGCTTAGTTCTGGAGACTGGCGGTGGCCTTGAGGCCTTTACGTGGAGAGCAACATCAGCAGCTCTGCCCCTGCGGAAGCCGTGACTTCAGTTCTGTGCCTGGTCCTGGCTAGTGCCCTGAGGTGCTCCTGGTCTCCCTGAGGAGACATGCTTTCACCGGTCCTGGTCCCGTGGGGTCACAGGGTGCCCGGGAGTTACCCACTCGTTAGATTTCAGCCCCAACTTAGGCATTCTCCGGGGGGCGGTGTTTGCTAAGATGAGGAAGATGAGAAGGTGGGGAAGGACGTGGAGGTCTGGTGGTGCTCGTGCACTTTTCTTCCCGTTGGAGGCCCCGCTGTAGGGAGGAGAAGGTGCACCCAAGGGCACGTCTTAGAACACGGGATCTTGAACGGAGAAAAGCGGCGGCATGCCAGGCGTTCACGTGGCCGCGAACCCTCTGCACATTCCAGCGAGGTGTGGAGCTCCTGGTGGCCGGTTGGTAGCTGCAGAGCGGTTCTCATTTGAGGCTGGCCCACTGACGTACCTGCGTTTGCTGGGTCCAGGATGTCTGTGAGATACGGTGGTCGAGAACGTGCAGTAGTACAACCCTTCTTTCAAAAACGAGGGGAAACCATCTCTCGTTTAGCGAGTATTTTAGGAGAGTACATTGAGGTCCTTTGTTGTGCAAAGGAAGGACAGCTTAGGCTGGCTCCTAGGGTGTGAATTTAGGTTTTAGCCTCAGAACGGCTGAGTCTCACAGCTGAGTCTCACGCCAGGGAGGGAAGACAGGAGTGCCCCAGCCAGGAAGCTCTGTGTGGGAGGAGGTGGGGAGGCCTGAGCCTTTCCTGACAAGTTATCACAGATGCTGGTTACAGGTCAAAGTTATAGTCTTGGTGACTGTGGGGGTTAACCTGAAAAAATGGAGAAGGGAGGGAGGCCAACCTTGGTGGGCAGAGCTCCTGAAGTACAGATTGGAGTCTCTAGATGCTATTGCCAGGGTTTCTGGGAAGTTGGTCAGCAGCCCTCACTGGTGCCATGCTGGACGCCAAGCACCAGCCACCTGGCAGAGACCTGGCGTCCCTTAGAAAGTTCTGTGGGAATGGAAAGTCTGGAGGAGGTGGGTGGGTGGGAAGTGCAGGAACAGATTTCAGCTCCATGGGCTTGGCTTGTGCCCACGAACAGCTGTCAACACCTGCCAGCCTGGGAGCCGCCCGTGGACTGTGAGTGCATGGAGGAGCTGCCGTGAGAGAGATCCATTCCTGGGACCTGGGAGAGGCCCCAGTGGGGGATGCCACCTGCAGCTCCAGCTCCCACAATGGGCGTGGAGAGACTTACGGATTTTATACCTAGAGAGAAAAGCTGCTGAGTATCTGCACACTCTCAGACTGAAATTCCTGCCTGTTTACTTTCAATGTTACCCGCTCAGCAATTCTGGTTTCCTTTTCTCTGAGATAGTTTTCAGATAATGGCAAGTGTTAAAGTAGACGTTTTCTCTGTATAAAGTCATCAGCCTTATCACACACACATGGCCTCGAGGGTCCCAGGCACTGTCAGTAATGAAAGGTTGAGGGCCCACAGGAAAGGAGATGAGACCAGTCAGAAGTGTTAAAGGGCAGCACTCTGGGCCTGTTGGTGGAGGAACCGACCCTGCACATCAGAGGCCCCGGTAGCGTCCCCGGTGCGTAGACTAGCCACTGTGAGGATGTCCCCACGGCTGGCTGGCTGCAGCTGAGGAGCCCTGTGTGAGTCACTGCAGGGGTAGTCTCTATGGCCTCACCCTACCTGTTTCAATTAATCATTTTTGTTTTACCCCCTCACCTCAGGTTTCGTTAGGAAATAAAGACCGAAGCAAGGGGGTGTTCTACAAAGCACTTCAGAACTGTCCCTGGGCAAAGGTAAGTTCTAGAGACCATGGTATCTTCCCATATCCAAGGAGCTGCTTGCCAAGAGTCAGTCCTCCCAGTGTCTGCTTGGCCTGCACCTTTGTCATGGGAGGCAAGGCCCAGTCAGGCCTTTCTTGGTGGAGCTGAGCCCTGGGCAGCCTGAGCCAATGGGCACATTTCCTGTCTCTGTGGTGGAGCTGGTGTTTCAGGGGAGTTGCTGTGGGCAGCTGGTTTCCCAGCATTTGCCCAGAGTTCAGCCCAGAAGCTACAAGTGTTGGGATCTGGGTCCCAAGTCTGCCTTGCAGAGCCCATCAGATACTCAGCAGTCTTGCCTGCCAACAACTTCTAGTCCCACCTTGAGTTCACTCCCTTTCACTGAGCCTCTGAGCTCAGAGTCCTTCCAGAAGTGTGTTGAGGTGCTGCCAAGTGAGTCAGGACAGTGTGTGTGTGGGGCGGGGGGGTGCCTGTGGAGGGGCAGCAGGAGGGCAGGCTTGCTGGGACAGGAAGTCGCTGGCTGACCGGGGTGGTGGCTCTCCTGGCCCTAGGTGTTGTACATGGACGCTGTGGAGTACTTCCCTGATGAGATGCAGGAGATCCTGGACCTGATGACCGAGAAGGAGCTCCGCGTGCGCCTGCCTGTGGAGGAGCTGGAGCTGCTACTTGAGGACTAGAGACCTGGGGGGGATGGGGGCCACACCTCCAAGGCCATGTTGCCTGCCTGTGGGAGCCAGGGTGAGCGAGAGGAGAGGGTGACACGTGTCCAGCGTGTGTCAGCAGACCTGTTTTTAAAGTTTCTTTCTAGATAATGTGTCTGGGTTATCAGTCTTTCATCCCGCACATTTTTTGGATGTGCAAATGATGCAGTAATTCTCGTTTTACATATTATATATGTAAATCTGTGTATACATGTACATAGACAAGAATCGGGCCAAGTGCTAAGTAAACCTAACGTGGTTGGTGTGTGCGAGTTGTTCGTTCCGCTCCTCCCCTGCCTAGCTAGAGCCAACCCCACAACAGTGAATGTACCCTCTCAGTTGGCATCCATGGTCCTTGCCAAGTCTTGGGTTTTGCAGTCGTGGTAAGGTCTGGTTACTCAACACCAGGACCTCCTCCCCTGGGGCTGGTCAGTAGGAGAGCAGATTTTGCGCTATCTTCAGATGAGAGCAGGAGAGTCATTTAAAACTTGGTGTTTGGCCTGTATTGTGTAAAGCTTCTTGTCTTCCCTAAGCCTTCGCAGTGCTGCCTCCACTGTGGACCAGCAGCATCGCCTGGGAGCTTGTTAGACATGCAGACTCAGCCCCACCCCAGCTCTGCACTCAGGACCCCTGGGGGCTTGTGTGCACCAGTGTGGAAAGCACAGCCTGAAGAAACAGGGACTCCTGCTTCGGGGGAGCCTGCCAGACCCACCCTGCCCGTGAGATGTGCCGAAGGTACGCTTTCCTGTGCTGAATGTCAGCACCGCTTAGGTGGAGTCCCAGACTCGCTACGTCCTCAATTTGATTTCTGAGGGCTGTCCAGCTGCTCTGGCTTTTTAAAATCATGACCTCTAGAATTGCTGAAGAAAAATTTCTTTGGCAACTCACCCAGAAAAGCCAGTGTTATGGAACAGAATTTTGGCTAGAAACAGATGGGCATTAGGTTGGGAAAAAGAAGGGAGGGCAGCCTGGCTGGAGCCCTTTCTAGGGCAGTGTCTCAGCACACAAGGAAGCTGGCCACCAAGTGGATGCTTGCTGCCCCACTCACTGACTAAACTGTTGAGAGAGGAGAGAAGTGCAGGAATTACGTGGGATATCTTTAGATGCTCTCGAGGATGAGGCAGGCAGGGCTGGTAGAAGATTCTTCATCCCTGATCTTTCTCAAATTCTCTTGGAAACCTCCATCTCTTACCACCATTACTTCTTTCCTGCCCCCAAGTGCTGAGACCCACAGCTCCAGACCTTCCAGAAAGGAAAGGTGTTTCCTTCTGAAGCCACAGGAGTGCAGCCTTTGCTGAAGCATCAGCAATGGTTGGCATGTGGCTATGATCACGTCTTTCCCCTTAGCTGGTGCCTGACAGCTCCTCCACCAGCTCTGGGGCCTGATGTGAGGGCAATGGGTAACTGAAGTCTGCACTCTTGTGATCACCCAGAAGCTTCCCTGACACCCAATCCACCCACTTACGCTGCCGAGTGGAGGGTGTGGAGGCTCCAGAAACAGGATGAACTGCTTGAGAAAGAGCTCGCTTTAATGGGAATGGAGCACTGCATGATGGGCGTACCACACGCGATGCTCAGGAAGGTACAGTGCACAGAACGTGTTGCTAATGAAGATCAACTGGATTGGGGCTCATCTGGGCAACTTCCCCCCCCTCCCCCCTTCCCCTCCCAGGGGTCGGGCACTCCCAGCCATTTCCTTGAAGGCAACTGGGGTTTGCTAGAGATAGAGCCCCTCAGGAGTGCCTTCCTGTTTTTTATAAAGGACATTTTCTTTCGATTTCTTGAAGTCTTCATTTGTTACTTTCATCCTGCGTTCTCGCAAGGCCATCAGACCAGCTTCCGTACAGATCGCCTGAAAGAAGGGACGGTATGTTCAAAAAGCAAACTATTTTTCATTCTAACACAATTCAGAGAGAGCTATTTTGAAATAAGGTGTAAGACACTCAAACACAAAATTATTCAAATTTACTTGAGAAAAGGTTAGATTTTTAAAAATGTGTTAAGTATTCTAATTATTTTCTCAAAGGCTCTCAGGCAGCTTAGACTGGAGTAATTAAGGAATAGGACTGGCTAGGAAGTGAGGCTCCGGGTCTAGTACTGGCTCAGGTGCTAGCCAGTTGTGTGGCCTCACAGGTCAGTAAGTTCTCACAGCTCCACTTTCTAAGAAATAGATGAAGTTATACCTGGCCATTTCATTTACCTATAGTCATAAGAGGACATGTATTCTGGTTAAGTATTATAAATTTCAGTATAGTATTCACTCTAATATATTTATTGTTTTCAATAACTACCTGTAAAAAAGAACAAACCAAGAACCCATGCAATATGTGATAAAAGCCCCATCATGGTACCGAAGTTTCTAGTTGGTTATGACCATAGGAGATTTCAAATGGTTCAGCAGAAAAGAACGTGTGTATATATAGAAAGATAAAGCAGATGGGTAATATCTGGTAAATCAAAGTGATGGGTATATGGGTGTTCACTATTGCAACTTTTCTGAAGGCTTACAATTTTTCAAAGTAAAACAGCTGGTGCAAAATTAAATTTGTTTTAAAAAAAGGGAGATTTCTCTTCCTAGCTGAGACGTTAATGTAGTTCTACAGATGCCAAGGGCATGCAGTTCAGTGCAGGCAGCAGCACGAAAAGGCTGTCTGCCATCCCTACCGAACACCCTGGTATTCACACCTGACGGAAACCTAGGTCCTCCCATAAAAAGCAGGATGTAACCATGTTTAGTGCTGCCAGGTCTGGTTCTAAATTCTGGTCCTCTGGGAAGAAACATCCAAACTCATATGGATGTCATAAAACCAAGAGTTCCAGTCAGCGCAGGTTCTCACCTTGATGTCAGCACCAGAGAGGTCATCCTTAGCCATTATCAGGTCGTCCAGTGTCACGTCGTCAGCCAGTGTCATTCTGCTTGTGTGGATCTGAAAGATGCGCTTCTTGGTCTTTTCATCAGGCAGGGGGAACTCGATCTTCCTGTCAATGCGGCCTGCAGGTACAAAGGTTTCAGTGGCAGCCCTGTGCAGCCCCAGCTCAGGGAGAGGCCCAAGCCCAACTTCTCATGCGTGCAAGGGGAGAGTTTTAAGCTATTCTGTGCAGTATTTGCCTTTATCTGTTTCATTTTACAATCTCCCCAAAATACATTTAAACACATTGATCTTCCACAATGAAATTTCAAAAGCAAATGTGACCTGGTCTGATAAGTGCTGGATCCAAAGTTTCAATTCTGTTTGTGGCCATGATGACTTTTACGTCTCCCCTTGAATCAAATCCATCCAGCTGGTTCAACAGTTCCAACATTGTTCGCTGAATTTCTCTCTCACCACCGGAATTTGAGTCATATCTTTGCAAAAGAAGTAAAGAAGGAATTGAGGACCCAACTGATCTGCTAACAGGGAATTACTACAAAACACCTTAACATTCCTGTTTCAACGCGTATGTCATACCCTCCCAACAGCCATGTTACAAATCTCATTATGTTCTTTGTAGTAGTTTTCATGGCCAAAGTTTTATTCAGTCTCCAATTTTGGTGTCCCCCACCTGCTGTGAGCTCCTTGAGGGCAGAGACTTGTATTCATGGTTGTGTCCCCAGAGTCTAGATGGAGCCTGGCTCAGAGCGGATGCTCAGGGTATGGTTACTGACACACCGATCTCCAGGTTGACAATCACCTGGTACTTGAGGGAGCAGAGCCTAAAGCATCCAGAGAGCCATATAACAGGAACTGTGGCAAACAATGTGCAGGCCATGGTTTTCACCTCTAAAGGATACAAAACGGGTAAAAGAAAGTACCTTTTTGTCCCAATGGCATCAATTTCATCAATAAAGACGATGGATGGTGCATGTTCTTCAGCAACTCGAAACAATTCCCGAACGAGTTTGGGCCCATCGCCTAGGTACTTCTGAATAAGTTCAGAGCCAACCACTCTCAAGAAAGTGGCTGAGGTTTGGTTTGCTACTGCTTTGGCTAATAAGGTTTTACCTATTTTAGATGGAAAAAGACAAAGGAAAAAAAAATCACATGGTGTTTTACCTTAGAAACACTGTCCTTACCAGCTTAAATGGACATTAAAAATGGGTGGATTCCTATGATAAAAAGGAATGCCACTGTTCAGATGTCTTAACATTCTGTTCTCCAGTCCCTCCAGTGTGGGCAATCCCAAGCACAGACCCTCTTGGGTACGTGGTTTTAAGTCAATCAAAAGACCTTCTTCCTTTGTAATTTACATAGCAATGAACTGCTAAGTCCTGGACTGCACAACTTACATAGGTCAGTTTATTGCATAGTGAACCAAATATATATATTTTTTACCTTCATGCATTTATTATTTTTTAAATATGTCTTTATTGATTTCAGAGAGAGGGAGGGAGAGTGAGAGAGACAGAAAAATCAATGATGAGAGTCTTCATTGATCAGCTGCCTCCTGCACGTCCCCAACTGGGGATGAAGCCCACAACCCGGGCATGTGTTCTGACCAGGAATCGAACCGCGATCTCCTGGATCCTAGGTTGATGCTCAATCGCTGAGCCACACCAGGCTGGCCCTTCATGCATTTAGTCATCCAATATTATATTTAGTACTAATGGACCAGGAGAATGAATCTAACCTGAACAGCAGAGGGTAGCTTTTAAATCATGGTTCACCATGGCTCTGATGCGTGACCACACTCCAGATGAATACACTGGAATCTTCAGGGATGGGACCAGACATCAGTGTTTTTTAAGGCTCCCAAGGTGATTCAAATGTACAGCCAAGGTTAAGCACTCTGTTTTATTTTTTCTTAAAAACTATTTTTAATAGACTCACATTTTTTTAAAGTGATTATGTTTGAAGTGGTTTTGAAGTGATTATATTTGAAGGTATGATGTTTTATAGCATATACATCAAGTATGTTCAAGGTATAGGAATTCTTGGGAACTATAAATGTGTCAGACGGAGCAGGTATTTTGGGGAGGAGTGCCTCCTGGTGTCTGCTGTTGCAATCCCTACTATTGTTTCTAACACACTAACTTTGTACAGTCTACAATTTCAAGTCTAAGATAGTTCACTTTCTTAGTGCATCTATTATACAGATAAATACACTTTTATGTAACAGGTATTTTTCTAGAGGAGTTGCTTATTCAAAAATTCCAAAATGTTGATTAGAGCACCGTTTTAAATGAAGGACTGTGGCATCCTCACGCAACAGGGAATTGTGATTCACTAATGCTGCTGCTCAAGAGTTGAGGTGAGTGCCTGGAAAGTGTCAAACCCACAGTGCACA